ACAGACAGACAGAATGCAAAGACTAGGGGGACCAACATACATGCAATGAACCAATGATATAGACTGTGATCGGATAAACGAGTTAAATAAAGATGCAGTGCTACAAACGGGACAGTTGATTGTTCTTGAAAGAGCTATCAGAGGAATGTGATTTGATAGACTTGTCTAGTCCATTACACACACACAAAATGTTCAATGCAAAGGCACTGTTTTCAAGACACAATTAACAGCCAGGGCCCAATTTCACAGAGCTTAGTAACAGTTGGCAGAAAAATTGTGCTAACCGTAGCAGAAAAATGTGCAAACCTTGAGCACTATTTCATGGCTGTGCTTAGCATGGTTATGCTAACAGTTGTGCATGCACAGAGATTTCTATTGTTTGGTCACAATAGTTTAAGCTAGTTTAAGCAAATATTTCCTTCAAGGTTAGTATGCCTTTGGCTGTGCTTACTACTATACCAGTCTCCATGAAATACGTGGAGCCTGTGTTAGCATGAAATTGTATGCTGAGCGGTGCCGTGAAAGTGGGCCCAGATGTTTAACAGGCGTGCTTGTTCAACACAGGTGCATGAAAAATGCTTTCTCACTCAGTACATCGTGTTTGATTTCACATGCCGAACAGGTGCCAAAGATGGTGATTATGGTCTGGCTGTATACCATGCCTCTGGCAACGTGATGTTTGAGGTGAAAGTCGGTCAGCTCATGTATGGCAAAGTTCTGGGAATTCCAGAGGACATCCCTGAGAAGCAGTGGACGCACATCATCATGACATTTGACTCAGGAAGTAATTATGGTCGTGACAACCTCCACTTTTGGTCGGTTGGATCCCTTCATTGTCAACAGATAAAGAAATCACCTAATTGGTTAACGCAGCAGGGCATAAGCTTCCCTATTAACCGCCAGAAAATGAGATATACTGACCTTATAAGGCAATGCACATAGTTTCAGTTGGACCGTAAGAGAAATATAGATTCACTCTTGTTGCATTGTGTTCATATGAGGCCACTGTAAACAAAGTCAAAATGGCAGCACCAGTCACAAAGTTTCAAAAGCACCACACATAACATTATATAAGTACTCACGTAGGATTAAGGATTAAAACTCTTCATTTGTTAATGAATTATGCTCCCAGTTACTCATTTATTTGTTTTCTTTACTAGGTGTTGATGTTTATGTCAACAAGATTTCGCCATTTACCCTCAGTACAGCAAGTTTTGGCCGTTTTACACCTCAAGACTCCTCAACTAGCTTTTTAGTTGGCTTAGGGTAGGTACAGAATGGTTGTTAAAAAAACAAAATTGGATTTTATTCAAATCAGACATTTGGGGGTACTTTATATGTGTTTTAGTTAGATTTGTATTCGAACATTACAGGGAGACGCTGTTTGGATTGTACATGTTGTATGGGGACACAATACGTAGAGATTCAGCGCTTGGCGAGACAGCATTGTGATGGAAAGTTTCAACAGCCTGAAGAGGGCAGCTTGTTTTCAGTAGTTACAACAGGCATCCACAGTGTGTTAAGTTGCGGTATTGTGACGACTTTGTATGTGAGATCTGAGCAGAGTTTGTGACCCACTCACACGTTAATTGATCTCTTATCAGGCCCAGTGCCAAGGGAGGGGGCTGGGGACCCCTGGTGAGCAACTGCCCCTGATTGACAAAAATCATATGCATCTGAACTGTTTTTGTTCTTGTGATGTTCCAACCTGGCTGGTACTGTGACCCCCCAAAATGCCCAAAGCTGGCGACAGGGCTGTCTCTTATTCAAAACAGGATTTCAGATTCAAAGTCATAGCACTACCGATGTGCAACCGTATTTCAAAAAGCACAGCCAAATTAGACATCAATATTGTAGTTCAGACCTCTTACGACCAGCACAAGACCTCCAGTGTGAATTAAACTCACAAACTTTTCAAATGAATTGCAACTAAATCCTTCCCCGTCACTGTTCACCATGTTACTTGTGAATGGTCTTGAGATGGTCTCGGCTACAACACTGAAAGATACTGCAGCTGTGTGTCTTTGCCATTCGTATTGATGCAGTGGAGATGCAGTGTATGACGAGATTGCATTCTGGGAGAGAGTTTTGGATGCCACTGAGCGAGACTTGATCTACAGTGATGATGACTTTGCTAACTCCAATGTGACCGTTAACATCACAGACTACCCTGATACCTGGAACCAAACTTGTAAGTCAACGTGTCATTGTCACCCAATGTCAAACCATGTCAGACACACTGAGTCACCAGAAAATATTTTTTTAGCCTGTGCCTGCTCAGGTATCTCAAACAAAAAAGATATAATGATGTAAAACAATGTTCAAAATCAATCCCTTCACTAGGTTTTTTTTTCCAAAGGCATAAGACACCCGCTCAATTTCAAAGCCCACTAGCCTGTATGAGTACAACAATAGTTAAGACTATCATCTCCAGCTCAGCACACAGGTGATTCAAAAGGTGATAAATCTTCTATATTTTTGTAGTTACTGTGGATGCCCCTGATATGACAACGGTGGTTTTAGAGACCGCTAGTGAAGAATCAACAACTGAAGAGGAGGGCATGACTACCATCAGGGCAGTTGTCCAACAGACTACATTCAGTGTAACCACACCTGATATTCCATCAACTAAAATCCCTACAACTAAACCAGATGTTCCCACGACCACAGCCACTGCAACCACAGATGTTCCCACGACCACAGCCACTGCAACCACAGATTTTCCCACGACCACAGCCACTGCAACCACAGATGTTCCCACGACTACAGCCACTGCAACCACAGATGTTCCCACGACCACAGCCACTGCGACCACAGATGTCCCCACAGCAGTGGAAACGGAGACAACAGCTGCAAGTCAAACATTGAGCAGAACTGGCAAATTAACTACAGATATTGCAACCACCTCAGACATTTCCACAACCAGTATCAGTGCAACTACAGATATCCCAACAATAACTGACAGCCACACGACCAAATCTGCAACAGCTACAAAAGACAGTGGATCGTCTACTACCCAAATGGAAACATCAACCCAAATAGTGTCCAGCACTGGCAAAACATCATCCACAACTAATAAAGCAACAACTCCTAGAGAACCACACAATTCACGAACAACTCAGAGGTTATCCACAACTGACAGCAAGAGCACAACCAGAGATCCACAAGTGATTCTAACATCCACACTGCATGCCGCAACAGCAGCAATAACCGATTTCAGTGACCAAGCCACAACAGCTTATACCGAGTCTCCCATTGAAGACTCAGTCCAAGCAGGTACTGTTAGTGGCTCAACTCCAGTGGACCACACAGCCGATGCGGGAGTGACCCAAGTATCCACTAATGCCATTTCAACTCTCTCAGAAACTACTCTTGAGACTACCGTTCCTCAAACACATGGATCAACAGAAGTAGTTATTGTGGAAAACCCAGACTCTGGTACCTCAACTACTATCCCGAACTCTTGGTCCGCAGCAGAATCCACACACACTGAGTTAACAACAGTTTCCTCTGCATTAGAGACATTCACCCCAAATTCAGCACCATCTGATTTGCCCACACCAGCGGTTTCTTATTTGGAGACAGGTGCTGGGACAACTCTGGATTTAACAGCAAAACAGACAAGGAAGGAAAGGACATTTAAAACAACAGACAGCGGGGTGTCAACGCTGTCTACGGTAGACAGTACTTCCATTGCACACATAATCAGCCCATCAGTACCACTTACTCCATCTAAAGATTCTGCTAGTCAGACTATTTCAAGTTTACGAAATTTGGTAAGTTCAAATCTCAGATGTCAAACGAGATTCTGAACTGCTCTGTGAATTACTTGTAATTAAAATTAACTTTCAGACTGAGCTGCTCCATAAAGTACACATAGGACCTACTGAGGAACATTACATGTCTCAATGCTGGTGCATTAAAAACATGTTTTCTAGGATTGGTAACTTCGTAAAGGGGCATTGGTAATACCATTCCCTAACACATGTCATCAGAGTAGCTGAGTTGATTTCAAGATGTAGAAATACAAATTTTCAAGGAAACATTGAGAATATTTTGTGCTCTTCACAGCAGCTGGAAATTTATTTGAGCTTGGATTTCTCATATCTAGTCAGTGGCAACTCAAAATGTCAGATTGTTTCTTCCGTAGATTCTGATGACATACCATTACTGTACATTATTCAGGTGAACACTACACTCCAGTCTGAGGGAAACATCAACAGCCAAACAGCAGCACTGCTTTTCAATTCGACGGCTGCATTGGCAGACTACAGCACAGTAGATGCAGATGATGGCAGTGTATTGGCTGCCTCAGCGAAGGTCTACATTGAGCTGGCTAGCCTTCTTGTCAAGTCGTTTGATAATTACAGCGTGGAGGAGGCCACTGAAGTGGTTGCAGTAAGGTTTTGGGATTGCGGAATGAATTGGCACTGGTCACTCACTAAAACCAGTCCTAAAAAATTGTGATCATGCGACCCCGACTTCTCAGGACTGTCAAAGTGCATGTAGGAATAAACCTTAATCCCCTCTGACCTAAAAGTCTACTTTTCTTACTTTATACCCTCCATTTTTATATTTCCATTTATAATGAAATTCACGGATTAAAATGTTACATTCAGGATTCTTTCCTCATCAGACATTGTGAGCCTCAGCCCGACTAAACTGTAACAATTAGCCTACAACTCCTCACTGAACTAAATGAAGGCACAGAATAGTAGTAAAATGAAATAATTTCCTAATCTCCATTGTGAATCCGATAAGAATACAGGAATCAACAGCTTTACACTACATATCAGAAAAACCTGTCCTGTAATATGCCAGACCCTTCCCGACCCCATATCAGAAACACTTCTGATTTCCAGCTATGTACCATTTCCAACTGTTTATCCCACCAGGCCTCTCTGAATGTGGTCGACAACTTAGTGAACCCTAAGAATACAGAGAAATGGTCATCTGTAAGTGTACTTGTTGATGCATTTCTGCTAACAAATAACATATTTAAATGGAGTTATTATCTCTATCAGTGCAAATAAATATGTGCTGTACACTTAGCCCTGTCCAAGAACCTGTAAGGAGAGCAAAATTTCAGACACAAAAATAATTTTGGGATGTAAAAGTACAGTTCAATAATTTGTTGTACTCTCTGTTGCAGCCAGTCAAGCATTAGTTGTGCTTTTGTCTGTAAAAGTTATGAAATGTCTACAGTGGCTGCTGGTTAAATCATGCCACCGATTTATTGGCCAAAGAAATATGAACATTTTGACAAAAATTCATTTAAAAAATTGGGATAGACAGGGAGTGAGTGCACATTCTTACTCTCTTTCAGGTTGGGTCAGATGTAGTAGCACAGATTACCCAAACAGCTGAGCTGATGGCTGTCAACTTAGCCAAGACAGCTAGCAATGTTACTTCAGACTCCATTGTACTGGCTAGTGAGAACATCGGTATGAACGTCCGTGATCTTGCTACAGGAATTTATAACAGTGGATTAAACAGTTTTGCTGTCAATCGGTGCTGTTAGTTCTTTTCAGTTATATCAATCCAGTATGAGTGTTTTTGAAATTCGCCTCCAACAAAAAACAAATCCAACAACCAGCATGACACACCGTACTCCAGTCACGTGTCTACTTTTCTTCTTCGTGACATTATTTACTCTTTTACATCAAGCAGCTCTAGACCTCAATCTGATGGGTTCCAAGTGGGTCAGTAGCTTCAACAATCAATGAAAGGAAATTTTTGGAATGACACGTTGACCCAGCCTTGTTCATAAATATACTACGGGATTAGGTTATTTGTACATAATAGAATTCAGCAGATTTAGAAAGGGTCCCGATAACAAGGTCAGGTTTGTGCTTGTAGTATCATAAGAATCCCAATTCAAGACCTGCCATAATTATGGCAAGAATGTTAACCTATTTTAATTAGAGGTCATCTATGGTTACCTTTATTCAGTGACCGTCATAGACTTTCTACAGCTCACCAATGCATCGGCTGAGTACACATTTCCCAAGATTGCTTCGGATCTGGACGGGGCTGCTTTTTCCATCCCACGAGCTGTGTTTGACACCCACGATGCCTCAGCTGTGGTCACGCTGCTCTACCACACACTGGGGCCCCTGCTGCAGGACAAGATGGGGCCGGGGGAAGACACTGACAGCCAAGATGAAAATGAAGAGGAGATGGAAGTGGAAAGGTACTGTGGAAGAAAAGAAAAGATCCAAATATAGAATCGACCATGACAGGGTGATAGTGTGGGCAAAGGTCTTCAAAGGTCTCAAGAACTCAACGTGGCTTTCAGCTATCCATTGTTCCCCATCATTTATAATTAAGTATTTGCAAATAAAGTGAAGAGAACAAGAAACCTTTATTACTCCTCTGCTCTGCCCTCTGATGTCGACGTAGATCAATTCAGAGGCACACTTTACTTTATAAAGGCAAGATATTCGAGTAGTACACAAGAGCTTTGTTTTACAGCAGTTATTTGACTTGCACTTGGAAAGTTCAACAGAAGGGTACTTTTTGAGTTAAGAAAGAAGTTTTTCTTGATGGAAGTGTTCTTCAGAGAGAAGTTTGACCTTTAAGGGTGGGCAGTGAGGTGCTTTTTAAGCTGCAGTGACAAAACACAGGGATGTTTGTATTCTTGACACAGTGAATCAGAGAATGAATTGACAAGGTCTGTGGTCGGCAGTAAGGTTATCTCTGTCACACTGGTACCACCCTTGAAGACCTCTTTGGAAAATGCCATCCAGTTTGGGTTTCATCTTGATCCAGAGGTAACTACAATCATAAGATTACTGTGATTTTTAAAATATCTGTCAGCTAACTTGTGAGGGTGGCAATGTACAGAAGGTTCACAAGAAAGTTCAAAGCACTGACATCTCTTTCCGTTGTTTTTAAAGAAGTCTCCGTTTATTACATTTCTATCTTTTATTCTGAAGAGTGTTTCTAAGGCCGATCCTTTTAGCTAACAGAAACAGTTACCATCTCACACTTTAAAGGAAATTATTTTTGTCTTGTATGCAGTTATGGACCGCGCATGCACATGGGGAAACAGAAAAAATGTGCTCTTTCTGGAATTTCTCTCTGTCGTAAGTTTTCCTCCTTTGGGTTTAAATTGAAACTAAAATGGAAGTGAGAGTTGTTTAAAAGGAGTACAAAAGAGTAAGTAATATGTTGATAATGGATTTTCAAATTTGGCACTTGTGTAACCATGCTGTGGCATGAATGCTCCATCACTGTGACAAGGGAGGCAACGGTGCAGTTCACAATGCACGCACCGTCACAGTGACAAGGGATGAGTGACACAGAATGAGTGCACCGTCACAGTGACAAGGGATGAGTGACACAAAATGAGTGTGCTGTCACAGTGATGAGTGGATGCAACAGTGTGGTACAGAACGAGTGTGCCGTCACAGTAATGAGGAATGCAACAGTGCGGTACAGAATGAGTGGGCCGTCACAATGACAAGTGGATGAGTGCACCATCACAGTGACCAGTGGTTGCAACAGTGTGGTACAGAATGAGTGTCCCGTCACAGTGACAAGGAATGCAACAGTGCGATACAGAATGAGTGGGCCGTCATAGTGATGAGGAATGCAATAGTGCAGTATAGAATGAGTGTGCCGTCATAGTGATGAGGAATGCAACAGTGCGATACAGAATGAGTGTGCCGTCATAGTGATGAGGAATGCAACAGTGCGGTACAGAATGAGTACGCCGTCACAGTGACCAGTGGATGC